TGTTCCATTTAAATTAAAGCCACCATACTAAAACCATAACAAATATCTATCATATTCAGCCATTGCACATTAACATATCACCACAAGAGTAGTTTTAAAACATGTCTAATTGCCAATTAATTTATATGTGTTAGACTGCTTTTCTAAAAAGTGCACAGTGCTGTATGCTTTCTAGAAATAATGTGTGCTATAATATATAACTATCAGTTATACTAAAAGGAAATAGAGGACTATTTTTGGTTTTATGGTACTTAAAGTTGAACTGAAATGTGTTTGTTGCAGTCCAATACAAATAAGCAATGGCTTATCGCAATTAAAGACCACATTCCACCAAGTTTTTCTAAATTCTAGGCAAGGAGCAGTTGCTCATGCTCTCTGCTGTCTGGAGTCTGTCTCAGATGCAGGTCTTCTGAAACTGTTTTGAAATATACTTAATGTATATCACACTAACACCCAACTTACTGTCAATTGACAATACTGATTTATAGAAGTTATGCCTCTCTTTTAAAAATTGGTATAGTTTATGACTAGGTGCAGCATGATAGTCCAAAAATAAATTCAATTATTTGTATTTTCTAGAAAAACAATTGCAGGAATGACATTTGAGGACTGTCAGTGCATTTAATAGAATAATACACAAGAATCAAAAAAATCCATAATGGTTGACTGACAAACACTTCCAGAAACTAACTGATATTCCCTGAGATATTTTGTTGGCTGACCTATGAAACGTAATAGTACAAGAAATCACAGTTGGAATAATAGCAACAAAATAGAAAAAATCTTGTTGACCTATTGGTAGGAAACTGTCATTTCCAAGACTCTTTTAAGGTTGAACTACATGCAGACAGCATGTGTTTAATGAATCTTTAAGTAGGGTGAAAGATGTTCATGTTTAAACGTGGAAATGACACCATTGCACAGTGAGGGAACTATGTAAGATATTACCACTGTTTTATGACCAACCTTCTATTTAATAGTTTTGGTTTGTTTTTTTGTTTTTGTATAGTCTGGGAAAATAAATCTGTTTCTTTTTAGGTATTCCTTGGGTATTTAATGGTTTTATTTAAATTCAATGAAAAGGCTGACTCCTGATTCATCCAGTGTCTTCTCTGAAGAATTTCATTTGCCCTTGTGTCCCCAGGACAGCCACCACCTGTTACTACTGAGGTCCTCCCTGTGATTTATCTCCGTCCACAAAGTTAGAGTAGTCTGCTTTGTGTAAAGGACAGTACTTATTCGTTGCTGCTTTTGCCTGTTTTTAATGTAGAATTCCTTAATACATTTTTGGGTATGCCAAAGGGGAAAAAATATATTCTAATCTTCTCCCATTCATGACTGAGCAGTTGTCAGAATACAACACTAGAGAGAAAATAGTCAGGACAGAGAGTGTTTTCAGAGCTGTAGCCACACTTTATTACACACCACAACATTACCAGCCACACTAGTCAGTACAACATCTAAGAGGTAGAAAAAGAGGATGCCATTTCAATACTGAAGAATATAATAGTTTGGTTTCATTGGGTTCATGTTAAAGGAAAAACATTTTAAAAGCCTCGAATTCAGTTTGAAGACTCCCAAAGTGGTAGAACCACAGACTGATGACATATTTGAACTGCAACAGACATGAGAAAAAACAAAGCAGCCCTTTCTTCACTTTTAACAAAATAGAAATCTACAGATTCCCAGTGAAATGCCCAAGATCACACAGCGAGGTACTGATCCAGTATCCATTGCATAACTAGATGCAATGAGTAAAGTGTTTGTTAAAAATTGCTCATCTGGTAATGAGCGCTTTTGCAATGTGTGATCCTTAGAGCTTATCGTCTTTCCTAAAAGCCAAACAAAGTAGATTTGACTGTACTTAAATTTTTATATGACCATGAGTTTAAATTTCCTAAGTAGGTAATGGTAACCATAATTACCATTCAGAAGTGCAGAGAGTACAGAGTAAGAAGAAAGGGTGAATAAACCTATTTGTCAAGAGTTGTATGTTTCTAACCTCCAAAAAAAAAAAAAAAGGAGAAGAAGAAGAAGAGTTAGCAGTTACCAAATTTAAAATTGCCTTTTCCCTTCTAAACAACTCTGGAATCCAAAACTAACTTCCTACTAAATAATGACACTAGGTAGCTAACTATTTCAACTGAAATTTGAATAATATCCCATTGAACATTTTATTAATAGAGTACCAACTGAGGACAATACCTTAGGATATAAAAATATACGTATGGGGCTATTTTGCTTGGAAAAATAAGTATCATTCCTATTGTATCCTTTTGGTTTGTGATATAAGTCCTATATTTTGAGATAACTCTTTGCTCCTGATATTCCCATTATAATCATCCCAGGTTTAATGTTGCTGTCTTCAGTTTCCAGTATAGTAAGATGCTAGCATCAATTAGTTTCATCTGTATACCAGTTAAAGTTAACATTACATTCAATAATTTTAATTTTGATGAAAGAACCCTCTCTTTTGTACTTAAAAGGTATAATTTTTTACAGTTAAATTAGTGAGGCTAGGGACTCTCTGTGATATGTGACTTCTCACGTAAAGAAACTGTGATCAAATCCATTAGCTCCCTGGGCCAGATAACATTACAACCACAGACCACAACCTCCTACTGTTAACTGGCCTAAATATGCAGGCAGGGGCCCTGGAAATGAATCACATAGCCTGTAGTGTGCATCTGGTTATCAAACACAGAAAGAAAACTTCTCAAAGTGGATTACAGATTCAATTTCAACTAAGCACAACCTTTGCCATGGGTGAAAGGAATTTTAGAAAAGGAGAAACAATCATTTATAATTAACTAGGAGGAGACGTCATAAATTTAAAAGTAAACAAAGTAACAAGACACAATGTTTCTGAGTTACTTACGTAACAACAAATAGTAAAATTATATTCAGAGATTTTTAAAATTTATTCTTACAAGAAATCTTAGCTGCATCAACTTTAATTTTTAATTTACCCTTTTATTTACCTTGTGCCAGGTAGGATTTATGTGACTTCAATAAAAGTCATCATATTTCAGTAAACACTTTGCAAAATAGCAGAAAAGAGATTCTATCAGAATGAAAATCTATACTATATCTGAAATGAATATATGGACAGATGTCTGCATATTCATTTGCACTGGTAATTTTATCTGTGAGACTTGCAGAATAACAAGGGGGAAGTGCTTGCAGGGGTATCTTTCTGCAGAACCAGCAAATCCCCAGAGGAGGCACTCTTGTATTGCTGGTTACAGCTAGATAAGCTCTGCTTGTCAGAGGCTGGGGAGATGGTCACACACAAGACTCTGATCACATGTCGTCTTTCCTTGTCCTCAGTTCCCCTTTATCATCCCACCAAGTAGCAACTGATTCCTTCATCTGAAGAAGAAAAAGCTTCCATCTCAATCCCTTTGCAATCAACTAATGCATGTTAGTTATTTTAGAAGTTCCTGAAACTTCCAATTTAAGCTAAGGCTTTGAAGCCTTCCAATCAAGTAAAAGTCATTTGTGTGTGTGTGTAAGAGAGAGAGAGAGAGAACTGTGATGTAATACAAGCTATTAAGGCAATAAATGTAGAACCTTATAAAATCGAGAAAGATTGGAATCACTCAGCAATAAATATCCACAGCAAAGAACAGTTTGTGACTTTAATATTTTGTAAAGAATTTCTGAAATATTTGCCATAAATGTATTTGCTCAACACAAAAATGTACTCACTTCCTCATACCAGTATACATTCTCAGGAGTTTATATCAGCTTTACCATCAAAAAAAAAAAATGCTGAATAACAGGGAAACCGGTAAAGAAACAGTGCCCAAGGAGACAGTCATTTGATTTTTAGGCCAAGGAAGGCTGAACAGTGGCCAGCTCCGCGTGCTCTCCACCCTCTCTTCTTCATTGGACACTAAACACTAGAGTCAATTCAAGGGTAAATTGCAGTAATATAGATGCTTTACAATTATCCTTAAGTAAGAAAGGGAAAAGCTCTGTGCTATTAAATCAATAAAAGTAGACTTAAGAAGAGTTGTGAGTCTGTCAAGTGATTGTTAACACAATGCTAATGACCTCTTGCAGCCCTTAATTACAATAATATCTCACGTTGTAAGTGCACAATGCCCTTTTATTAAAGCTGCAAACCTTAATAGCTTTTAGCAGGGTGACAGTATATGCTACTGATTATTGTTTTCTTTATCTTTCTGTCCTCAGACTCAGCTAGCTTTCCCAGATAAGACTATTAACGTTGGATGTTACCTAATTTCTCTGCTATCCCACTCCATATTAAACACTAACACAGAAGCAAGACTTCCACAAAGTTGCCAGTCTGCCTACCTGCCTCAATTATTTTGCATTTTAATTGCTACTGTTTCAAATAGCCTTAAAAATAAAGAAAAGGATTCTTCATGCATTTCCCCTTGACATATACTAACATGAAAATAAAACAAAGTCTAACTAGTTCTTTAGGAAAGAAGTAATTTTAGGTGAGTTACCGAAAGCTTCAAATGCAACTGTTTTTCTTAGCTCTTTTTTCCCGTAACGATTTGCCTTTATAAAGACACTCTTAAAACTACTTAGATATTGTGTCTATTCAAACTTTCCTTTAGAAAAAAGGCTGCTACTGCTCTTAAACTCTTTAAATACACATTTTTGTGAGGTGTTATCTGCTTTTAAAAATATATACTTGTCACTTGGCAAGGGCCATATATTAACAAGTCACTTACATTTTTCTCTTTTTATTTTGTATAAAGTTCTGTTTACTCCTCTATGAAAAATGATCTGAACATCTGTCTGGTGGTTACAGCAATTATGAGGACAAGTCTTACTTAAAGGTCTCACTTAATAAACGATCTAATAGATACAAGATATTTACTGCAAAGCAGAAGATGTTATAAGTACATTTCTGGTTCAATTTGCAGATCTCCAAAGCCTTAATACACCCCATCTTGACGGTTTCTCAACAGTTTGCCATGTGCCCGGTGCTGGTGAACTCATTGCCAATCTTTACTCACCTCAACTATGAAATTTAAGAAATCCGTAGGTTAACGATCTAAAACGTCAAGCGGTACAGAATAACGGGTCTTTTTCTCATTAATCCACACTGGAAGGTTGAATACCAGCAACGAGCAGTGTACCATGTGCACCCATGAAGAAGAAGAAGAAGCACCATGCATTCAGAGAAGCAGGGCGCCCTTTGCCCAGCGCACACTTAAAGAGGTACAGCCAGGCGGGAGGGACGCAGGATGCAGATGAACCAGATCAGGAGAATGCTAATTACTGGGGGGAAAGCAAAGCACCCCTAGGTGAACTCCACCTTCACGAAAGGTAAAAGGTGTCTAGCGCGGATGGTTCAAAGGACTCCTGCCCACAGCAGCGCGTACCCCTTCCAGTCTCAGACCTCCGCAGAAGCCGGCGGCATAGCCGGCGCGGAGTTGTGCCCCCAGCAGTCGGGGGTCGAGGGAGGAGCCTGCGTGCGTTCCTCTCGGAGGAGAGTGCTCCAGCCTGCCCATGTTGGCCGCTGCACCTGGAGAGTGCCGGGATTCGCTCTTACCCTCAACCACTACTCCTCCCGTCGCACCTGGTGTCTGTCAGCACCGGCTTTCCGGGCCAAACGCCCCCGGCTCGGTCCACACGCCTGTCCTGCCTCGCAGAGCCACATCTCACGGCAACACGCAGTAACTTGGGGACGCCCAGGGAAACTCCGCACGGACACCCCCGCCCGCCGCTCACTGATTAGTCCTGCTTCCAAAGGCGCACGGCAAGGGCGCACCTCTGCCCGGCGGCGCCTCCCCAGCCCCGCACGGGCAGCGACACTCACCTGGGGCCTCGCTGCCCTCCCCGCGCCGTCAGACGCCAGGGACCCGGGCGTGTGCATCCAAAAGGACGTGCGCTCGGCTGCCGGGCGCCCGCGGGTTCTGGGGCACCCAGTACGCGCAGCTGCGCGCGCGGGGCAGACTGGAGGCACCGGCTCGGCACCCCCTCGTGCCCGCCCGGCACGGGCTCCTCCTCCAATCACAGCCCACTCCGCGGCGCGCGGGGACACTGCCCCGGCCTTGGGCGCCCTGGGCCCGTAGCTTCCGCGCACGGCGAGGGGCCCCTCCGGCTCTCCCAGTTGGCGGAGACACAGGGTCCGGAGCCAGCGGGAGCGCGCGGCGGCCGGAGCGAGGGCGAGAGGGCGAGAGGGCGCGCGGGAGAGGAGGAGAGAGCGCGCCGGGGCCGGGGCCGGAGGTGGGGGAAGAGGGCGGCGTGGGTGGGCGGCGGGCGCCGGCTGTCTGCGCCGTCGGAGGCCGGCCGGTGGAGCCCCTGAGACTTCCGCGCCTCCCGGAGACCCGGTGGGGGCTACTGGAAAAGAACGCGAAGAAGCCGGAGGCGCTCGGCCGCCACGCGCGCTCACACACACGCGCGCACCCTCGCGCACCCTCCTCCACCTCCCGCCTGACAGATCTGTACGGATGGATTCCTTCGCAGGAAAATAAGAAGCGGGGTGAAAGTAGGAGGGGCTGCAGCCCATCCATCTCTCCGCGAGGCATTTGCATCTAAAGCGCGGACCGGGAGGAGAGTTTTGAGGGTATTTTCAAGCTGCCCCCCCCCCAACACCCACCTTTGCCTGTCGGGAAAGCCGTGATCAATTGAGCTCCTGAGGCATGAAGGCAAAGCCATAAAACTAATCAGAACTTACAGCTTTCTTGCTTGATAGTTTTGCCCTTTCAGTCTCTTCGGACTGCCCTAGTTCTACTTTTTCTTTTTCTTTTTTTTCAACTTGCAGAAAATTTTCTCCCTTGCTGGGCTCTCTAATGCTAACCTTCCGAAGTGTATGATTTACTCGCAGGGCGGGACGGAGGACCCTCGCAAGGTGTGGAAGGAAGCAAAGGGATCTGGTCCTTTATTTGGAGCGCGGCGCAGCCTCTGGAGTTGAGTACGCCTTGTTTCCCTCTGCTCTGGTGCTCGCTTCAATCTCTTGAGTAGGTGTTCTGTCCTAAGTGTTAGGAGCGGGGAGAGATCATTTCCAACTACATTCGTTTCATTTTTCTCACTCTACCAATGAACGTGTCCTCTGTCTCTTACGCACTTACTCTTAACCTTAGCAGTAATTCTTCGGATACCAGTTACATGGGCTTACTCTTGTCCGTGCCAGTATCTCTGATTTCTTGTGCAATCAAGCATACTTGTTCTGTCCCCAATCCAGCCTCTCTTGGCTATTTAACTGGCACCACGCCTCCCCCACCTCGCCCATTCAATTTAGTCAGTGTTTAAAACTGACTTCTATGCTAATAATTCTAACAGCAACTTTGAACTCCCGTTAAGTTCCAGATACCATCCTATGTTGCTTACTTAACATTAATGCATTTTAAAAGTTTTATCTGTAAGATCCAGGGCTGCTTGGATGGCCATTTCATGGTCCATTTCCACTCAACTGTCAGCCATCACCCAAATTCAAGATGCTTAGAAAAGACCTCCGAATCTTTTCTTAGATATTAGTTTGGATTTCCCCAGTATGTTCTTTTCTGTTATGGGCACTATAATTCACCTGGTACCCGGGTATCAAATCTTGACTTTATCTTGAGTCTTTGAAATGCTTTTCTGTGTTAAGATGCTCAGTTATTCTAGCTCATATAGTACAATCATTAGATTCACTTTAGATTTTTCTGGTAACATTGCATATATTTGTCTTGTTTTACGTATGAGCTGATTTCTGCGATGAGAGATTTTCTATAACTGCTCTGAACAAAAAGCTTCAGGAAGCCAGTGATTAATATGCAGTATCACCAAGGCACAGCACATGTTTGGTCCATAGTTAGCATTTGTTGAATAAAGAAGTGAGTGTTTGTATCCCATGTAGCATTTCACACAAATTTGACCATACCAAGGTTTGCCTGCATTGTTCATCTATAGGAGGTCATATTGTGAGGGGAATCAGACACTGAACTGTTTTCATCTACTGGCTTCTTTTGATCAAAGGACATTGCATAGAAAAGGAAATGTTTTGAGTCCCTTTTAGAAAAAGGTATGCTTCTTCAAGTTGTTATATTTTCTTTCTCTTCTTATGACTCCACATAAATGTTGATTCCAAATGCATGCTTTCTTCTTGAACCATTCTACCTGCCTTCCTTTAAAAATGTTTTTAAACCATAACCTCTACAGATTCCAAAACAGGTGAAGTAATTTCAGTTAACCAAAATTCTAGCCCTGGTTCCCACACTATCAGCTGCTGAGCTTAGAGGGAGGTCCAGATTCTTCTTGAGCAAAAGACACAACCTAGAGCCAGGGTAAGAACTGAGAATAATTCAGACAGTAACCAAGAGACACCTTTTATCTAAGGAGGTTGGGGATGGTCTCTTTCTGAGGAGATGGCACTTAGGTTGAGACATGATGGTGACAACAAGTCAGCGTTGTGAAGCTCTGAGGGAAGAATGATCTAGGCAGAATAAACAAGGGGAATGTCTGTAGCAGGAAAAGGCTGGATGGATGGGAGAAACAAGGTGCCGTAGGAGGGGAGGAAAATGGGGATGGATTACGTTGTAGTAATAGACATGGACCAGATCTTTCTAGATCTTCCAGCCCCTGAAAGATGTTTATATTTTATTCTTAGGAGAAAGCCCAGCATCAAGCACAGAAAACAGGAGCTCACCAGGCTTATGCTGTTGTCTGGTTTAAGGTCAACACATGTTTTATTAGGTCCCTTCTGCTCTCCTTTCCTTTTCTCACAATTTCTGGTTTGCTTAGAAAATCCAGTTCTGAGATGCACCAATAAAAAAAACACTGTACTAGATGAATTCCAAGGCACTGCCAATTGTTTAAGATTCCATAAACTACAAATGCAAGCCATAATGGCTTACTTACACAATTTAATGTTTTCTTTTACATTTCAAATGTATGTTTAAATATTTCTGTTCATATGTGTGTGTATATATTTTCAAGCTTCCTCAGTTGAAGGTTTTCTTTAGTGTTATGTATAGCATTATTTGAAGAAATGTACCCTTATCTACCCTACTTTAAAAAGCCTTCCTTTCAATTTATTTTCACTGTCTTGATTAAATTAAGAAAAGTTACCCATACTGGCTCTCTATTTTAGAGAAGGAGGAATCAAGAAAATGTAGGGGGATTTTGTCATGGTTTCTGTTGGTATGAAAAGTATATTCCTAGGTGTTTTTTCACCCAAAGTAGATTTTATACAAGCAAAGTACTTTCTGATGAGATTGCTGATCAGATTTTATTCATATTCATTCCATTATGATCTTACTCTAAAACCAAAGACATAGGCCTGGTATCTTGTAGCTAAGAAGAGAAGAGATGTAATCCTTGAGATCTAGATAGGTCTAAGCATTCTGGAGAACCTCAGGTAGAAAAAGAGATATGGCAGAAGGTAGGAGGCTCTCCCTATAAGGCTTCAAAAGATCTCAAAACATGGGACCATTTATGGTTTCTTGTGAACATTTCCCCCAATATAAACTGTGAATAATAATAACAATCTATGTTTAATGCTTACCATCTTTTCTGAGGGTGTCTGTGTCCTTCAGTTTAGTTCATCTATTAAAAACAATTCCATCTTCTGGAAAAGAAAGGACTTCTAGCTCAAGGTAGCCATTTAGTGTGTATTTACTGAACCCCTGCTATGTGATTCCTCCACTAGGGCATGGGAACACAAATATGAATATAAGATTGAGTTCTTATCTTTAGAAACTTCTCATTCTTCTGTGACAATAAAGATGTACATACATCTATCTCCACACACCACGTGATGAGGTGGGCACAAAATGTCAAGTGTGGGAGAACAAAAAAAGGGGCATATGATGGAAAACTTGAATGAGGAGAAATGTTTGGAATGTGCTGTGAGGACAAGGGGCTCTATTGAAGAGTGTTATGAAGGCAAATGGTGATCATATTTGCACTAGAAGAAGAAATATCCTAGCCCCTTGTTAAGTCAGCCTTGGACTGGTGGTGAGAGAAATGTGTAGGAGGTTGTTTTAGAAATCCAGTTGTTGAGCAAAATCTTGACCTGGACTCCAGTTGCAGCACTGGAAATATATGAAAGGTCTTTGGATATAGTCAGAAAATATAAATAGATGTAAAGATGTTCTGACTAGAGTTGTCATTGATGGAGCATAAATAATCACTAAAAGAAGAAAGACGTTGGTATCTAACATTGGCATCAGGGAGTCAACCCCCAAACAGCATCACTCATGACAATGCCACTTCATAGAGTACTAAACTAGAAGAATCCAAAATCTGAGGCCATACAACAATTTTGTTTCTTAGGATATACTCAAGGTCTCCTCTTTCACTATCCAAAAATTCAGTATTTGCACAAAAATGAATACTTACCTGGCGAGTGTAACCCTCAGTTAAAAGACTCTAAAATACACATAGAGTAAAGGAGCTGCTTAGACACCACAGAAATATTTAGAAAATGCAAAGATGGCTGGGTGTGGTGGCTCACATCTGTAATCCCGGCACTTTGGGAGGCTGAAGCGGGCTGATCACAATGTCAGGAGTTCGAGACCAGCCTGGCCAACATAGTAACAGCCCGTCTCTACTAAACATACAAAAATTACCCAGTTGTGGTGGCACACCCCTGTAGTCCAGGCTACTCAGGAGGCTGAGGCAAGAGAATCGCTTGATTCTGGGAAGTGGATGTTGCGGTGAGCTGAGATGACAGCACTGCACTCCAGCCTGGGTGACAGAGTGAGGCTCCGTCTCAAAAAAAGAAAAAAATGGAAAAGAAAATGCAACAATGTTTGATGGA